TTTGTTTGTTTGTTTTTTAGCTGAAATTTTCTGCATGCGCTGGTCAGCATATAATATTAAAAAATCTAGAAGTTTTTACTCTGGAAGTCTGCCTTGCTAATTTTGGATATTTTGAGCCCTGCTTCAAAAGTTGAGTGAGTGAGAATGTAACAGAGGCATTCAGGATACTAAATATGCAAATTCCATCCAGTCTGGTATTTCCAAAAGTTTAGAAAATTGCTTATTATGGAAACTGCACATTCTTTTACAGTGGTTATTTATATGAACATCAGTTCACACTTTGAATTGATATGGAAAAAAAGTAATGGCAACAAAGGAAAAGGGGCGTGGTATACTTAATTTTAAAAGGCATGTTTATTAATTAGGTGAATACATCTGAGAATAGCACCAAAACTATTTTCATGATGACATATCGCATAAATACTAAGTACATTAAAAAGTTTTAAATTCATGTTTACACAACAAGCCATAACAACTCTCTTGGATTTTTTCCTTGTAATTTTCTGGGGCTAAGGAGTATCCAGATTCACGCAGCATCTGTTTGGTCCGAGGTTTAGAGGCCCAGGCCTAAAGAAAAGGTAAAAATTCAAACACCCACACAAACCCCAATCAGTGTGTGTGAGAGTATGGGGAGCTTGTTATCCCCTCTGAATTCCCTGATGGACTGTTGGGGGAATAGTCTCCTGAGTAACATCCTGTTATATCAGTAGTCTGTTTAGCTAAGAGGCAATTATGTTTCCTAATCTAATCAGGAATCTGCCTTCAACCTCAACAAACTTCAAACAGATATAAGACTCAAGCTTTGTTAGGGTCTGAGAAGGAGAAAAATTGAGAGGAAGGGCTTGCCTCTAATTCTCTCTTCAGGTTTGTGCCTTTTTTATAACCTTTTTTTCACAGGCAGGCTGGAAAGGCAGTTTTCTCTGTGGGAGGAAAAAGCTTTTCTTTCCCTCCTCTACCCCTAAATTGGGGGGAGGTTTTTTTCATTTTTTGTTGAACTATTTTTTCTCCTAATTTCAGTGTTGTTTTTTACATGAAGGTCTAGTTAAAGTACAGTTTGTGAAAAGGACCGCATATACAGGCAAGCGTGTTTTAACTACTGTAGTTGTTAAAGACTGTGAACCCATCAGCAATGTCCTGTCTTGTGTGGTCCTGTAATCTTCTAAGCTACCATTTGTTCCATATCATCATTACTATAGTTACCCATGGTAAATTGGTAGGTTGTTGCCACCATGTGGCCATAATAGCTTGTAAAAGAATAAGTATAAAGAAGAATTTGCAAAGTTATAAAATACCAAGTAAAAAATACCTTATTTCTGTTTCGTTTTTAAGGGACTGCCCAATGAACAGTGGAGAGTAACTTTTATCAATGAACATTATGGACTATGTGATACATATCCATCACTTTTGGTAGTCCCATATAATGCCACTGATGATGATCTCAAGAAAGTTGCTGCTTTTAGGTCCCGAAATAGAATTCCAGTAAGTACTGTATGTGATAGAATGTGCCTTAAAGAGTAATTACTGTGAAGTTTACATGCAAATGTATGATTCTTGTGGCCTGAGAAATGAGGGGGCTTTTTTATGTTGCAGCCAAGTAACTTAAATCGATTTTACTGCTTTAAACTACTGTGACTGCCAAGCCCTGTTCCTGGTTCCTCTACAAAAATATCTCCCATCCCCATTTTGCTGTTCTCATTTCCCTTTCCTAGTAATAACTGCCACTGTTGCACATTCCCTTTTGTTGACAGAGCCTGAGCCTCAGGCCACCATCTGTACCACTTTGTGGGCTGACTATTGTTGGATGCACTTAAGAATTGATAACAAATGTTATCCTTCTCATATGCATGCAAACCACCTGGCAGTCGAACACAAATCTGAAGGTCATTCATAGAGCCAGACCTCCTACATAGTATCCTTTTACAGAGTTGCCAGCTTTTTTTTTTTTTGATAGCTTGGAAGAAATATTTTTAACTTAGACAATTAAAATAAATTTTAGGTAGTCCTAGAAGAACTTCTTTTACTTTAGAATAGAAACTACAGAGTAACAAATTGCAGCCAAATATAAACACACTAAAAATTCTAGTTCAGTATAAACCATTTTGACTGATTTCTGTTTGTTTTTGGTTTTTACTTTCACTGTTTGTTTAAAGGCGCACTCATATGATCATGTACAAAAAAAATGTGCTAGATCAAATCTAGTGACATGATTAAGGTTACCTAATGGATTTACTGTTAGTTCTTTTTGTAACCAGGCTAATCTCATCTAAATCTTGCTAGGTACTGTATACGCCTGCACAATGGGATCAAATTCTTCTGCAGCATGAACTTATTCTATCACCATGAAATGACCATGCATTCCCATCCCCACACAAAAATTGATAACTATGGCTCGTTGATGTAATCTTCATTAAGGATTATTTTCAACAGTGATTATTTTTGAGGATGCTCACAAGGTGGCCTGGCTCCACCCCCAGGTTCTCGCAGGTGCTCAGAATCTTCTTCTTGTTCTGTGTGCCAGGGACAATGGATAAATTGTAGCCAGTTTCAGAGGCTCATCTCCCTGGTTCCTCAGACTTTGTTCTCATAGACTGGCAAGCTGGGCTGCCTCGTTTTTCCCCCTTCCATTCCCTGATTTAGTGGAACATTGACGGGAGAGAAAACAAACTGTGCTCAAATTAACTTCCCATTGTAGGGAGATCTGGAAAGCAAGAGGCAGCGGCAGGGAGAAAAAACAAAATTTCAGGCACCTAGATGGAGCAAAAATGCTGAATTAAGTGACATGATGGAAAAATGCTAGACTGTGTAGTTGCCGAATCATGGGGCCTCTAACTGAAATGTATGGGATCTGTTCACACCTCTGAATTATTGTTTCAGCCTCTTTGCTGATTCAGGCAGGCATTTCTGGATTAGTTTATGCTCAGTTTGCATTTTCAAAATCATTTACGCAACCATAAGAATTTAACAAAAGATTGAGATTAAAGAGATGAATTCTGAAGTTACAGAATACACTTGGCCTTGTATTTGTGCATATAATTTCAGGAGACCTAAATAGGCGTTACACACACAAGAAGAGAATAAACTCTTTACATGCCAGTAGTTCTTGTGCAATGATCTTTTACTAGAAATAGTAGCTGATAACGCATAACTTAAGACAAAACATACACTTAACTTTTTAATTTCTTCCAATTTAGCAAGGTCTAAATATTTTAACCTTCCCATTAACTGTTTGTAAAGAACATAACTTTGATGCTTTAACTTGTGATTCTCAAAGAGTATATTGCTTGCTAACATTTTATGGCATGTGATTAGGTGCTGTCATGGATTCATCCAGAGAACCAAGCTGTTGTTATGCGCTCCAGTCAGCCTCTTGTTGGTATGAGTGGGAAAAGAAATAAAGATGACGAAAGGTATCTTGATATTATCAGGGATGCTAATGGACAGATCTCAAAACTGACTATCTATGATGCAAGACCCAGTGTAAATGCAGTAGCTAACAAGGTAAGTTGATGTTTTAACAATCCTGTTTTTGAAACTAAAAGCAATTGTGTCATAAGTTTGCTGTTTCTAACTGTAAAGAGGTTTTTAGAAAGTTGCTTTTTAAAAATTTTTTTTAACTGTTGGTAGTTTAAAATAAAATGTAATCAAAATACAAGTAGTACCACACTACACTACAGTCCTCACAGAAGTGGAGGAACTTGGAAACCTGTAGCAAATACGTATAATGTATTTGTTGGGCTGCTTCAGAGTTCTAAAAGTGGGATAAAAAATGAACTCTCCAAAATGTTTTTGCACTGCTGTAACTCAAAAACATAAACATACAAAAAAGCTTTTGTAGGCCACTTGCTGGTAATATGGAATAGCTTATTAAAAAAGAAATATGGCTTTAATTTTTTCTCTGAAGTGTATGGAATGTACTTTATCACAGACAGTGTAGCTAGATTTTAATCTGATTGGTTGTGTTTTAAGGCTTTGGTTCAAATGGCTGCATTTTAGTCCACAAATAACATTTTACGCAGCACACTTAATTTTAGTGGGTGACCAAAACATTATCTCTTTGTTACAGCCATGTAATCCTCTTGTGGCTTGCCTTGTAGAAGGAATGCCATTTCTTACAAAAGTGATTTAAATTTTTTTGGACTTAATTCAAAGATGGATTATGGCCAAATCTTAAACACACACATTTCTTTTATTGTAATTTTCCTGTACAACTTTTCAGCATTTTAGAAAAATGTTCTAAATGTTTTGTCATCTGATTGTTCTTTTAAAACATTTTTTGTTAGGTAAGAGTGATCAATCCTACTTATTGCTCCTGGAGGAATTCTGCACCAAAAAATTAAAAATTCTGTGCACAATATTTTAAAGTTCGGCAAAATTCTGCTTATTTTATTTGTCAAAATAACACGATATAATCATGCCAGTTTCAGTTATTTT